GTCTTTCATAACTTTTCCCTATCTTTCTACTATCCAGAAACCTATAAATCAGTTTTATAATGACAAGGGTAAACAGTGTAAACTATTACCTAACGTGTAATTTCAACCAACAGTAATCACAATTTGGAAACAGTTTATTGTACTACTTGGGAAATCACTGTAAAGAATACTAATTCTTTAAAGAGGCATGTTTTATATATACTACTTTTTTTTAGTCCAAAGAAAGAAAGTCGGACGCTCAAAAGTGTATTTTAATGTTAGAAATACAAATTTGATGCTTTTTCTCACATATTTCCTTGGCATTTTAATATGAATAATTTTTTGAATGGGCTCCTCGTTTGTTTTTATGATTATTATGTTATAAGTTACACTAGACTACCATTTTCTAAACATGTTTATATAACATCCTTTATGTAATAACACTTGGAATGTAACTAGCTGAAAATGTTTTCATGTTTTTCCTTACAGATCTCTAAGCAAGAACAGAAAAAAATGGATACATTTGATGGGAACGTGGCTGACACCTCCTCTCGGTGCAGTGGTGCCCAGGACAGCGGCATTGGCAGTGACAGTGTTAAAATCAGAATAGTGCAAATAGAGCAACACAGTGGTACCAGTCAGCACCGCATCGCCCGTCCCTCTCACCAGTCATCCATTGTGAAAAACCTAAATTTCATCCCCTTTGACATATTTATTACTGCAAGTAGGATCTCACTAATGACATATTCCTGCACGGCCTTACCCAAATCGAAATCGCAAGAACAGAAGGATAATGAAAAAACAGGCAAGAGCTCATTAAATCTCCCAGAAGATGATTCAGATGTTACTAAATCCAGTGAGGCATGTATTTCCACAGTCACAGCAGAAGATCTCTTAAGCAGCAATGTGCCGTTTCCCTCGGGGAAAAAAATGGGGGCCATCTCTCTTGAAAGTCTTCATGCAACCACAAGGTCATCTGCGAGACAGGCACTCGGTGTCACTATCGTTCGGCAGCCGGGACGAAGAGGGGCCGGCAATTTGCAGCTAGAACCCCTTTTACACGTCATTGTCTCCCAGCCGTCTTTGCTTCTGAGTTGTCACCACCGGAAGCAGCGAGTGGAAATGACCATTTTTGATGCCGTGCTTAAAGGGGTAGCCTCCGATTACAAATGTACAGGTAAGAGCCTTCAACTTTACTGGAGTGATGAAAACTGCTATTATATATTAAGTTTTATTCCCACTTTCAAGATTGATCAGCTGGCAGTCCAGACAAGACTTCTTTACAGAATATGTAATTTGGAAAGTTCATGTCCTACAGCTGAATCATGTTTAAGTAAGTGTTTGAAATGTATCAAGGTGTAAACCCTAATGTCCCTACTGTGCCTCTGAATATTCTTTTTTTCTTCTTCTTTTTTTTCCAGAAGCTAAATGAAACAGATTTCTTTCTGGGCTATAGAAATGCTTGACAATTTCCAGTGATTGGGTAGCAAAGGGTTGTTTTGTTTTTTTCATAGTAATGGCCTGTAGGTGAGCTTTCCATGTAAATGCAGCTATCCAGATAAAAAAAGAACCTTAGAAAATGGCATTTATTGTTTTGGTATTTTGATCTAATCATCTTGCTATATCAGCATAATAATAAATGCATTAGAGAAGGTTTATTTTTAAACTCAGATGATTTAAAGATTTGTATACAAATAAAAAACTCATGTATTAGTGGTGTTGGCCAACTGGCTCTTGTTGCCCCATCCATACCTTTCTTATAACCAGAAAGCATTCTAATATATTATAATAATTTTATTGAACTTCTGATACCTGTTGGTTGAGATTAGGCAAGTGATCAGTGATTTAGATTGAAGACATACTGGCTGTTAAGTAACAGGGCTTAAATAACAATGTAGAGTTAGCTATTTGGCCAGAAAGACTGGAAAAGGTGGCTGAGTCACCTAAAACATGGTATTGGAAAAGGACCCTAGCAAGCTCAGGTCTGATTCAGGCATTTTATTGCTGTCAGGTGGTTCCATCTGGAAGATGGAGGCCAGCAGTGGGCATTTGAAGAGTTCGTCCAGTCTGGTGGTTCATGCTTGGCATTAGGAGAACCATGGTGACAGGTGTGAGGATCAGGATTCAGCCCAAGGAAGTAAGGTCAAAGGAGCCCTTGCAAGTGCAGTGCAAGTCCTTGCTTTTGACAGGGTGACGGGCCAGTTGCTGCCCGGAGTAACCTAGGGTTACCTTTCAGATGGCCTGGTGCTGCCTCTGGCTCCCACTGGCTCGCAAGGGCCAATTGCTACATTTGGTACTTTGAAAGACAGAGTAGTTGAACCACTGGTAGTTTAAGTCAGCCATATTGAGAGTATTTATGCCACAGATATTGGCAAATGCTGTCAATCAGCTTTCCTTTTCTGAGGGCCAGTTGTTAAACATGTACCAGCAACCACTGCCTCCCTTCCTCAAACATGTTCTCCTTTACTGAGGCCTACAATATAGTAGGCATTTCAGGGGAACTGGAGTAAGAGTGGAGTGAGGTAGTTGATGTTATGTGATTCAGAGACTTATGCCTGTATACCTGATACTTGCTTAGCATTGGCCAAAACTCGGTGCAGGATATGGAGAATGAAACTTCATTCCAAGCCCCTCCTTAAGTTCTTTCAGCTGTAGTCTCTTTATAGGTGGGTGATTCAGTGGTCTCTACAAAGATATATTTATACTAGATTCAGCAAAGTTATCAGGGCTCATATCAAAGATGTACATTTGAATCAGTTCCTAGGTCAAAATAATGAAGTACATTTTGTTTTTAAAAAGCCCTTGTGTGTAGGCTGGCATGGACCCCAGTTTCAGTAGAGGAAGCTTAGAGTGAAGGTTATGAGCCAGAGTCATTACAGGGAGGAAAAAGGCTTACATGTTATATACTAGTATCTATTTAAATTATCATGTTTCTTAAAAATGCATTTAGCAATTTGGAGAAATTTATCAGAACGAAAGTAGTTAAAATATAATGGCTTAAAAATGGAACTGGCATTTATTGAGTACTCAGTCTGTGCCAGGCATTGTACCAGCTGCTCTACATGCATGATCTCATTTAGTCTTTATCACAACTCCAAGGGAAATGTTATATTCCCATCTTACAGAGGAGGAAACTAAAGTTTGGAGAAGCTAAGTAACTTGTCCAAGATTACAAACCTAGCAATAAACAGCTAAAATTCAAAGCCAAGATTCGCTGGACTCCTGAGTCTGGTCACACAGCCTGTCTGGATCCCTAGAGTGGAGAGAAAGGTGACAATCACAATTCTCACCCTCCAGTGTCCCACTTCCGATCATGCAAGTGTTTTATCTGGTGAACTTGTGTGTGTTAAATGTGCCCGTGACGTGGCTACACTGTAGACCTTCTCTTGGTAGTATGACACACCCGAGTTCAGATCCTAACTCTGTCACTTACAAAGGTGTGTGCCTACCTCATAGAGTGATCGTGAAATTGAAAGAAGGTAATTCATGAAAGTACTTATCATTGAGTCCAGCAAGTAGTAGGTCCTCATGAATGTGTGCTGCTACTGCTTACCTGTTATTCTATAGTAGAAAGTTGACTAAACTGGGAAGCAAAAAGCCTGTAATAATAACATTGGCCCTGCCATTAACTAACAAATGATCTTAGCCAGGCAGTCCACTTCTTTGGGTTTCTGTTTCCTTGTTTGTAAAGTGTGATGACTATTCTAGATATTAACAAGGCCCATTACAATTCTAAAGTTTGATCAGTCAGTAATTTGGAAGTCATCTCCCCACACTCACCTTTCTAAAAATAAAGTATACTGCTTTCACCTCAGAGTGGATATGTGTAAGCCATTACCCTATCAGATTAAAATTTATTTTGACTTCTTTTAAAAATGCATATTTTCTTTTGATATTCCAGTGGAGCACTAATTAATTTATTCAGTGTTTTAAATACGTACATTTTATTAAATGCTAATGAAGTTATTTTTTAAAATAACTTATCTGGAGAATTTCTATTTTAAATTGCTTACTTGAATGAATTACTCAAGTCCCATTATCAATTTCATTATCTAGAAACACTTCATGTAGCACTTTCCTTCTTGATCAGAAAGCACTGTTCCATGTCCAGTATTCTTTTGAAGCCCTGAAACAGCCCATGTGGGTAAGAAAAAAGAGAAAAATATGAATGAATATAATGTTAACAATTTTGGGAAGGAGGAGCTGGAAATGGAAGGGACCTATTCCATTTCTGGATTCTAAAGTGAAGGAGGCATTGCAGTGTCTTAATTGGAAAGACAAAAAGGGGCATCAATCACCATGACACTAGCTTGCGGAGAATGGTCAAAGAAAAGTCATCATAAGTTAAAAATGAAAGCGTATAGCATATGTCTTTCTGCAGTGTTCATACATCAGGTCCTCAAATAACGTCATTTCATTCAACATCATATTTTTATAACAGAGATGAGATACTGTAGGAACTTAACTCTTAATCATATCAATTAGCCTGTAAAGTTGGTTTCATTGTATGTTGTGTTTCTTAAAGTCACAGAATCTATGGATGACACTAAGGGAGGACTTACTGCACTTTCTCCCTTGATACTAAAATTAATCCTTTTCCATAAGGTAACTCAAGTGGCAGCCAGCCAATAGCAGTTTTAACATATATGTGCATCTCAGTGATTGCCCCAATTGAGTATGTCAGACATGACTTAATAATTTTATACTAATTATGATTAATGATTAAAGTTTAGCAGAATATGGAACTTCATGACCATGGGAGGCTGTGCCAGAGAAGCAATTTGGAAAAGCTTAGTATCATTTGTATGCTAATGATGGAGTAAGAAAAACTGCTTGGATACAGAGGAATGAAATAGGACTGCTCTTCAAATTATTTTTTCTAAATTATTTGTAGATTAAGCTCTGGCTGCAATTCAGAATAATTTTTAGCATTCTATTTACTTTATCTGGTTTTTGGCTTTATTTCTTTGTAATATATTTTACTGGTCACTCTGGAGTTTCCAATTAACATGCCTAATCTTTTATTCTATTTAGTGGTTACATTTTACCACTTCAAGGAAAATGTGGAAGCCTTACAATCATATAGATTTCCTATCCTTCACCACTTACATTTTAATTATCATGTAGACTATGTCTGCATATATTGAAGACTCTATCAGATAAATTTTGATCTTTGTTTCAATAATGTTACATATTTTAAAGAACTAAAACAGGAAAAACTAGTATATATTTTTTTATTTATATATACTGGTATATTTAATCCTCACCCGAACATATGTTTTTATTGATGTTAGAGAGAGAGAAAGGAGAAGAGAGACAGAAAAACAGCGATGTGAGACAGAAACGTTTATCAGTTGGCTCCCGCACCTGCCTCAACCAGGGATCGAACCTGAAACCTAGTCATGTGCCCTGGCCAGGAATTGAACCCACAACCTTTTGGTGTACGGGACAAAGCTGCAACCAACGGAGCCTCCCAGACAGGGCAAAAACTAGTCGATATTTTATTTTTTCCTTGTACAGAGCTCTTCCTTCATTTCTCAAATGCCAAGTTTTCCTGTTATATTTTCCTTCAGCACTAAGAACTCCCTTTAGCATTTCTTTTAGAGCAAGCCTTCTGACAAGGAATTATTTTAGTTTTCTATGATCTGAGAGTATTATTTTCTCTCTATCATTCCTAAAAGGTATTTTTGCTGGAATGGAATTCTGGATTGTCATGACTTTCAGCACTTCAGAGATACTGTGTGTTCCACTGTCTTTTATCTTCTGTTGTTTCTAAAGAGAAATCCATGTTAATTCCTATTATTATTTCCATGTATGTAATATGTTATTTTCTCTGTCTGCTTTCAAGATTTTTTTCTTTATTTTAGGTTTTCTGCAGCTTGATTATGATGTGTCTGGGCTTGATTTTTTTGAGTTTATCCTGTTTGAGGTTCTCTGAGCTGGACTCTGTAAATACATGTTTTCAAATTAAATTTAGGAACCTTTTGGCTATTATTTCTTTAAATGTTTTTCTGCACCAATATTTCTCTGCTTTGGGGACTCCAATGTTAAACTATTTTATATTATCCCGCTGATCACTGAGCCTCCTTTGGTTTTTTCTTTTTATCTCTGTTCTTTATATTGGATAATTTCTGTTGAATTTCTCAGTTCCAAAATTTCCATTTGGTTCTTTTTTGT